ATGTCACACACTGCAGACAGCTCATTACACTGACACAACCTGTCAGCTGAGAGGGGGGGAGAGAGAGAGAGAGAGAGAGAGAGAGAGAGAGAGAGAGAGCACAATAATCACTGAGAACATATTTCAGTACTAGTTTTGGACCGCAGGATCCAACCTAAATTATTTTGAACCAAATAAAAACCCGGGAAAATGTTGTTGTTTTAATTAAAATATATTTTCTTTACCGCTGGTCTGAGGAGTCGGGAGAAGGCCGGAGACCGGCAGCGGCTCCGCGGGGACAGGAGGCTCCACAGAGCTGCTCGGTGTCGGACTTGTTGACCCAAACCCGGTGGAGTAGTTTGTAGGAGTGAGTGTGAGGTTCTGTTCGTCCGGAGCAGCTGTGGTGAAGTCTGAGCTCGTTGTGTTTTGGGTTGAAGTGATGGTAATCACCGACAGAAAGAAGAAGAAGAAGAACACTGGACGGAACCGAACAGACGTGAACACCGCCATGTTGTTTATTGTTGCTATGGTTCTTCTTCTTCTTCTGTGGTGTGATGGAGGCTTACGGCTTATACTGCCACCTACTGGAGTTTCTGCTGGCACACTTTGTTTTCCCCAAACTTTATTTGAACCATCAAACAACAATATACAACTGTGTACACAACACAAACAAACACCAGGGGGAGCATAAACTAAAATATAATGAAAAGAAAAAAATAAATCACAATATTATTCCGCCAAAAAAAAAAACATAGATAAATAAAATAAGATAATAATGATAATTGTAGAAAACAGGTGCCAGACAGCCTCAAGTTTAAATTAATTAAAACAACAAATCATCCAAAATTCCAAGTTGGGAGCAAGCCCATGTTGTTGTTTTGGCTTTTTGATTGGTAGAAGGTCTAATTGTAATCATATACTGTTTAAGCTCAGTCAAAAAAAAATTGGTTTTCTCTTCAAAGATTTGCATTTGTGTGAGTGAAATTTAGCCACGACGATTAATAAATTGATTTAAAAAAAAGACATTTGAATTCATTTTTCCAGTCTGGTGAAGTCCAAACAGCTGCTGGCACAATCTGTTCAAGCTGAGAACTGCTGCCGCCATCTTTGAAAGTGTAGCAACTGGAGTGTC